AATGTGCTTACATGGTGTTTGTTTGCTTGGATTATTCTTATATAAACAACATTTCCTGCAACATTTTACTAAACCTTCAATACACACATAGCTACACATAGCTTCTTGCTAAGTTCTTCATTCTTACTATACCTGTATGTCCAATATGCAACTCATCCAAAATCCCTTTTTGTAACTTTTTAGGAATGACTACACGGATACCCTTCAAAATACATCCATTTTCTATGGAATACCTGACTAACTCATCAGCTTCCACTTCAGATCCACTTTGGATGTTCTTATAAAGCTTTGCAGTTTCAGGGTCCTTAAGAGTTTTTTTTTGAATTTGTTCTCGTCCAATTGGTAAAGTATCTAATTGATTTAAGGCAGAAGTTGAATCCATATCCAAATGTTCGTCCTTTCCGTAATTTGGTCTTGAAAATCGAGATAAGTAATCAGCATTCGCATGCTTTTTTGTTTCTCTATATTGAATTCCGTACTTAAATCCTGCCAGAAAATTTGCATAATGCAACAATCGTATTGCAGATGTTGCTGGCAAGTCCTTTGTTGGATAAAAATTCTTGTTAAAGGCTTATGATCAGTTATCAGTGTTATAGGTCGTCCATAACAGTATAAGAAAAATTTCTTTAACCCCCATACTATAGCTGTTGCCTCTTTCGCAACTAGAATTACTAGCAAAATTGGGTATGATAATACATCTAATAAACTACTAGGCTTTGTTTTACCACTGAAGAATGGCTTGACTCAAGTAAATTCATATGTTGCTACTTCGGCATCTACAATTGAAAACTATTTAGATTACGTTGCCACATTTATTCATGTTTTAAATCTAATCAACAATCATATGATGATACTTCTTCTATCTTTTGTTCCTTAATAAATATTTGTTTCGGGTTATTTCTTATTTCATTTTTATTTATTATCACGATTTTACATTTATTTACGCTCAATTCTAGGCCCACCTTTTCAATTTCTTCTGTCCATATTTCAACCAAGTTCCTTGCCTTTATATGGTTCTTTATTGTCAGCATATAGTAAATTATCTATTTTTACTGGTTCCAAGCTTTTATAACCTATTATGATATTTATTTGTTCTTGTATTTTTTATCACTCTGTCCATTAATATTATAAATAATACGAGGCTTAGGCTATCGCCTTGTTTTATTCCCTTGCTCATTTCAAAAGTTTTTGATTGTTCTCCCTTCATTTGTACCATGTCCTTGACTTTCCTGTACAGATTTTCAATTATTTTTGTTAGTTTTTGTGGTATCATTAGTTGTTCTAGACAGTTCCATATAATACTACGGTTAACCGTGTCAAAAGTTGCTTTTAGATCCAAGAATATTAGGTATAGCTCATTGGGCGTCTCTATTTTACTTTCGATGATATTTCGGATTACATGTATGTTTGTTTACTTACTCTGTATCCTGCTTGTTCATCTTCTAGTTTATTTTCCACTACTCTTCTTAATCTTTTTTCTATTATGTTTGTGTATAATTTGTAACTTGTAGATGATAGGCATATGGCTCTGTAATTTTCGCAGTTCGAGGAGCTTCCTTTTAAATATGTGTATTGGTAAGATGATATTATCTTCCCAATCTTTAGGGATTGTTTCCGACTCCTATGCTCACTTTTATTCCCAAATATTTTATTATCTCCTTGGTCTATCTTGTCTTTGCCGCAAGTCTTGTCTGTATTCATCTTCATCATTACCTCTCCTAATTCTTCCATTGTTGTCGCTTCAGTTGCTATGTCTGTAGTGTCTTTCCCTTATCTCATCTTCTCTTCCCTCCTCCATTGTTTGTGTCCGTTTTCCATCCTTGAACTTTTGTGCATAAAAATCCGCCCATATGTCCAAAATTTCCCTTGAAGTTGTCTTTATATCGTTCTTCTTATCTTTGACGGCTATTATTTGTTTCCATTGATCTCCCTTCAGTGTTTTTATTTGATTCCGGAATTTCCTGTCATTCGATCCTTATGTTTAATTTAAACTTGTTCCGAACTCTTCCCAACTTTTCTTTTTCGCCTCCTTTACCATATCCTTAGCTGCATCTGTGTTCGTTCTATCGTTTGCTCTATCCTCTTCCGAATTCGTTCTTATATATCTCTTCCATGACTCTTTCTTCTTCTTGATTGCCTGTCGGACCTCTTCATTCCACCAGTCTGTTCTCTGTGTCTGATTATTATCTATTTTCCACATTCCACACACCTCCATAGCTTTATTTCACATTATCTCTTTAAAACTTCTTCATCTTTCTTCCAGAGTTAAATTCTCTGTTTGTTCTAATTTTTGAAATTCGTTGTTTGTTTTTTCTTGGTATTTTAGTCTTTCTTCCTCCTGCCTTAGTTTATGGATTTTTATTTGCGTGTAGGTTTTCATCTCTTCTCTTTCGATTTCTATATCGTTTTGGAGATTCTGGGTGTGTGATGTAATCAATACTCTTAGCATTCCTTTCTTCCGCCACAAACGTATATTTATCTGGTCTCCTCTGACTCCTCATAGTTTTCCAATCAATAAGTCGTTTATTTGACAAAATTCCAGCATTCTTTGCCCATTTCTATTCATCACTGTCTCTACCTGATCTTCATATTCTCCTATACTGCCTTCCTCTTGTGTATATCATTACCTATTCTCGCATTCCAGTCTCCCATTATAATTACTTCCTCCCCTCGTTCTCTGGATTTATCGAAGGTTTTCTGCAGACTTAAGTAAAAATCTCGTATTTCTTCTTCTGTTCTAATAAAATGAGAAAATTGAGTGATGTCACTCCGGTGAATTTTTAGTGTTCTACAGTGTGTTATCAATAATTTCACTACTTTTAGTAGTTATTCATTTCTTCTGACATTATACAGTTAAAGTCACTGATTCTTTTACAAAGTTTGTGTGGATATACCATCGATAAACTTGAATTGCAAAGAAGTGTGTTTGGAAATCCTGAGACTATTATTTCAGATAGAGGAACAGCATTTACATCTAACGATTTTGAGCAATATTGCCTTGATGAAGACATAACACATATTAAAATAGCGACTGGCGTTTCCAGAGTAAACGGGCAAATTGTGGCAAGAAAGAGTGAATAAAGTAATAATACCAGCCTTAAGCAAATTGTCCACTGAACGTCCCAAATGTTGGTATCGATACGTTCGAAAGTTACAAGAAGCATTAAATAATACCTATCAGAGGGCTTGGTAGAACACCATCTGAGATGCTTTTGGGTGTTGAAACGAAAAGAAAGGAAAAGATGAAATTGAAAGAAATTTTAGAAAGCAAATATGCAGATATTTTTATGGAAGAACGTGAAGAGATTAGAAAAATTGCAAAAGAACAAATGAAAAAAGTACAAACAGAAAATATAAAAACGTACAATAAGAATAGGAATATGGCTGTTGTATACAAAACGGGAAATTTAGTGACAATTAGAAGGATCAAGGCAAACCATTACTAGTGGCGATAACATGAACCCACACACGTGTACAAGAAGATGATGAATACGAAGAGTCATTCGAGGCAAATTTGCAGCAGAATGGTCGAGATGTAGGAAAAATTCGGAAAGACTCGAGACCCTTCGAGTGTACGAAGAAGTAGCGAAGCAGAAGTTAGAAGACGACAAGCAAAGAGTAAAGACGTGTTGTGTTAAGGTGGTGAACTTAGTTAGTCAAATAAAAGTTTAAATGTTAATCGTAATAATAAATTAATTAAAAACAAGTGTGGTTTTAGTGGTTTATTCAAACAAAATCCTACATATACAGGGCTTCCCAAAACTCCCGGGACGGAGCTATAAGTTTTGATCGAGTGAAGAACAAAATTTGAAAATTTGGATTACCACCCCTACATTTTTAAATAGCAACCCCTGTAGAGTTTTACCTTATTTTAAAGGTAATGAAAAAAGAAACACAACCCCTTAAACCAAAACCCGATATCTTAATGCTTTCAAGAATTATGAGGGGTTGGCTACCAAATGGGAAAATAAAATGTTTTCATGCTTTTTTACACTTTTATTACGATTTTTATAACAAATGTTCAAATTGTCAACCTTCTTCGGTCTCGCAATAACCCAAACGCTCACAGATGGAATTTTGAACCATCAGGAGCATATCCCAAGTGATATTGGTGGTTCTTCAAGTATGCGATTTTCCAAATCATTGATTGATTCTGGTTTTGTTGCATACACTCTACTTTTCAGAAATCCCCAAAAGAAAAAAACGAGTGGTGTTAGATCAGGAGATCGTGTTGGCCACTCAATGTCACCTCTACTACCAATTCACCGGTTTGGAAACGTACGGCTTAAAACGTCTCGGACTGCGCGACTAAAATGTGGAAGACTACCATCTTGTTGGAACCACTTATTGTCAATACCATTAGGGCATACGGCATGTACACTTGGAACCACTTGATTTTCTAACAGATGCAGATATCTGTCTCCGTCCAAATTTCCATTAATAAAAAATGGACCAATTACATTCTCTCCCATAATACCAGCCCATACATTAATTTTCTGCGGTCTCTGAGTATGACCTTCTCTTATTAAACGTGCATTTTCGTCATTCCAATAACGACAATTGTGCCTATTAACGTTACCATTCAAGTAGAAAGTAGCCTCATCAGAGAAAACAACCTTCTTTCGAAGTCATCTTCGTTCAATTCCCATTTTCCCATTTGGTAGTCAACCCCTCATAATTCTTGAAAGAATTAAGATATCGGGTTTTGGTTTATGGGGTTGTGTTTCTTTTTCCATTACCTTTAAAATAAGGTAAAACTCGATAGGGGTTGCTATTTAAAAATGTAGGGGTGGTCATCCCCTAAAAAAAAAACTCTACATTGCATGGAAGTTCTAAACTATCTAAAAATGTAGTTTTTATGATTCTTTAGTGATCTCCAAATTTTTAATTTTTTTCTTCACTCGTTTAAAACTTATATCTCCGCCCCGGGAGTTTTGGGAAACCTGTATAACTATTAATTCTTAAAGTAAACTAAAAATCTTCGTTGATTAATTACTAATTTATTTTTGCTTATTTTGTAGTGCTAATTTTTTCTGTAACTTTTCAGCTTCAGTTTCTTGTATTTTATTAAAATATTTCAGTATGTTCAACAGTAAAGTAGAAATTGTAATCATGTAGTACATTATTAACACATATGTGTGCGATTTGTACGAGTAAAATACTTCGATTAATCCGCAAATTTCTTTATAATTATATAAGTGTTTCTCGAGATTTTTTATTCTTCTCGATATACTACTTAGTATGCACAGATCCCTATGATATTGGTTTACATTTCTTTTGCCATCTTCATTTGCAGGCTGATAAACTTGGTCGTTAATTTCCATGAAATATATAACAGTTGATAAATTCTTATTTAACTGTTCGATGTCTCGCTCTGTTGCTGATATGGTACACCCCATATTAATATCACGAGCAGCTCTTTCTAGGATAATTTCCAAGTTGTTTTCTACAATTTTTTGCCATATCGTCAAACTAAGCGAAGTCGCTAGCATGCAAGAAGTAGCATACTTTTCGTAGAAATTATTTTTATGTGGAATTATAAATATTCCGTCAGTTCCCACAGAACTATGTCTAACAACGATTTAGTTAGTTACTTAATTCGTATATACATAAAAAGAATCTTACTGAGTTTTAGAAGCTTTATAGTAGGTGATGTCGGAAATGATCCGGTTTTTAATATTATAACCAACAGTTTGAAACGCAGATAATATAGCCATTACATAGTCGATGTTTTCGTTATTACAGTTCCAGAAAACGGCTACACCATTCCTAAAAATAAAAACCTCGAGTGGTTCTTCTTGAATATCTTCGTAAAGTGAATGAAGTATATCGATTTCGCCTTGTATATGATGCGCATTACACGTTACCGGTAATAACTTCAAATATGGTAATATATCCTCCAAGTGGTACTTTACCGGAGCTCCATAAGCAACTATTTTATGAGAGTTTAACAATTCAACGTTGGAATACTTTCTCTTAGCTCTATAGTCTGGTGTTTTAAACTCCGGCGTTTCCATATCTATGAAAACACCGTCTTCTTCATGTTTTATTTCTTCCCCAGTATACCATCCAATCATCCAATCGCGCCATACAGGACGTATTAACCTATAAATAGCCGGTAAGAATATTTTAGTATGTAAAACACTATGTAATTTCATTTTAATCGGTGTGCCAAAAAAGAAAATTAATGAGACGTCATAAGTGACGTTTGAGGTTTCATTATATTATATGATAATGGAAAAGCGTCATCTACAACAAAGACAAATGGAACTTAAATAATAAACGTTTAAAATGTGTTGCATTAAATACGAACAATACTGTAGAAGACAAGGTGATACGGATGATGACATAGAGATGGTTTGGCAATTCGTATATCTTGGAATGAAGCTGTCTAGGGATAACAGCCAGACTGGCGAACTACGAAGAACTACGAACATAGATGACTTCGAAAAAAAAGGACCTTAGGAGGATTGTAGGCCTAATATATGAGAAAAATATATTGAGAACAAGATATAACCAGGAACTATACAGCTACTACAAGGAGCCACAAGAGATACTACAAAGATCTTAGAGTATCTCAACATCCAGAGATTGCAATTGGGAGGACTTATGTGAAAGTCCTCATCGCAGATTCGGAGAGGAAATTGCAACATGCTGATCTCGAGTGAGTTATGTTGATGACGAGGACAGAGGAACGGGTGGTTAACATCCACATCGAATATAGTAGTAGTCAACTGCTCACTCCACTCAGGCCAACAGCTATCAAAATCTTGGACGACAATTCACCAAACGAGCAAGCTTACTATGCCCTGAATCAGTGTGTATTTGCAAAGGACGAAGTAAGCCGGACGGTCAAGACAAGGGTTTATAAAGCGGCCATTTAGCCTATACTTAGGCTTAATGACCGCAGGGCTGGCGACCCATAAGGAGACCGAGAATAACATGGAAAAACACAGGAAGCAGATTGCGATAAGCCGAGGAAAGACTATGCAGCAGGTCAAGGGTCTTGGTGGGGAGAGAGAAAACTTCAGAAGATGGATCCAAGGCCATTTCTCAACAGCAAGATAGGAGCACGCTGGGGACGAGAAAGAAGAAGAAAATATCAATAACAAAACCGGACAATCCAGGAAACCAGATTTACACATACAGGTACATTCGACATGACGAAACAAACAATATTCCACCACAAAAGTAGAAATAAACATGCACAAAGAGAAAGAGAGGAAAAGAAAAGGATTGATAGAAAACTAGAACATGAATAACATGAATATAACACTTCTTCTTATCCTTTCGGTGCCATATCAGGTCCCCCCAACGTTGGCAATCTTATCCGCGAGTTGTTCCAATCTTTCGGCTAATCTAAATAGTTGATGGTTCCAATCATTCTTAGCCATGAGATTTGCTTTCTTCCAATTCCACTGCGACCCTCGAAGCCCCCTCTAAGAATATGACTTAGGTATGATATCTTCCTTACCTTAATAGTTTTAAATAATTCCAGAACGATTTTCTATTTATCATTGCTTCGTTGATGCATTCTTCTATGCAACCACATCTCCAATGTTTCCAGACGATTAATCGGGGCAGGCTTTAAAGTCCAGATCTCAGTTCCATATAACAACTCTTACCAGACATAANATTAAATACGAACAATACTGTAGAAGACAAGGTGATACGGATGATGACATAGAGATGGTTTGGCAATTCGTATATCTTGGAATGAAGCTGTCTAGGGATAACAGCCAGACTGGCGAACTACGAAGAACTACGAACATAGATGACTTCGAAAAAAAAGGACCTTAGGAGGATTGTAGGCCTAATATATGAGAAAAATATATTGAGAACAAGATATAACCAGGAACTATACAGCTACTACAAGGAGCCACAAGAGATACTACAAAGATCTTAGAGTATCTCAACATCCAGAGATTGCAATTGGCAGGACTTATGTGAAAGTCCTCATCGCAGATTCGGAGAGGAAATTGCAACATGCTGATCTCGAGTGAGTTATGTTGATGACGAGGACAGAGGAACGGGTGGTTAACATCCACATCGAATATAGTAGTAGTCAACTGCTCACTCCACTCAGGCCAACAGCTATCAAAATCTTGGACGACAATTCACCAAACGAGCAAGCTTACTATGCCCTGAATCAGTGTGTATTTGCAAAGGACGAAGTAAGCCGGACGGTCAAGACAAGGGTTTATAAAGCGGCCATTTAGCCTATACTTAGGCTTAATGACCGCAGGGCTGGCGACCCATAAGGAGACCGAGAATAACATGGAAAAACACAGGAAGCAGATTGCGATAAGCCGAGGAAAGACTATGCAGCAGGTCAAGGGTCTTGGTGGGGAGAGAGAAAACTTCAGAAGATGGATCCAAGGCCATTTCTCAACAGCAAGATAGGAGCACGCTGGGGACGAGAAAGAAGAAGAAAATATCAATAACAAAACCGGACAATCCAGGAAACCAGATTTACACATACAGGTACATTCGACATGACGAAACAAACAATATTCCACCACAAAAGTAGAAATAAACATGCACAAAGAGAAAGAGAGGAAAAGAAAAGGATTGATAGAAAACTAGAACATGAATAACATGAATATAACACTTCTTCTTATCCTTTCGGTGCCATATCAGGTCCCCCCAACGTTGGCAATCTTATCCGCGAGTTGTTCCAATCTTTCGGTCAATCTAAATAGTTGATGGCTCCAATCATTCTTACCCATGAGATTTGCTTTCTTCCAATTCCACTGCGACCCTCGATTTTACCTTTTATTATAAACGCACGACGATTTTGTATCTGTCTCCTCTAAGAATATGACTTAGGTATGATATGTTTCCTACCTTAATAGTTTTAAATAATTCACGAACGATTTTCTATTTAACATTGCTTCGTTGATGTATTCTTCTATGCAACCACATCTCCAATGTTTCCAGACAATTGATCGGGGCAGGCTTTAAAGTCCAGATCTCAGTTCCATATAACAACTCTTACCAGACATAACCTTTGATCATTCTTTGACGCAATTGTAGATTTAAGTTGTCGTTACAGAAGAATGATATCATTTTTAGAAAAGTTATGCGAGCTGTTTCAATTTGCAAGTAAACTCTTTATCTGGATCTACTCTTAAATTATCTGTCCGATTTAGTTTTAATATGATCTCTTTTTATGGTTACGGTTACGGCGTAATAAACTTCTTATATGATACGAACAAAACTTCGGAATCGTATAGTATCCATAGGAAGTGGTATATAGCACCAGTACATCACATGGTTGCAGAAGCAGTTTCCTCCCAAATACTGCAATACCCGCGTTATACGACACACACTTGGTGTCCAAGTTCTGAATATGAGGAGGCAATGCGTTAAAAAATTACAGCCATCTCGCGCTCTCATTGTGCGACTGAAAAGGGCATCAAGGCTACCTCCATTTCTTGTATTATATTGGTGACTATCGTTGTTTTTAGTCATTCAAATTTTCTTTCACATGCGTCAAACATGCGAGAATATAAGCGTACGGAAAGGTCATAATACCGAACTGGATGAATTTCGTCCTACAGCACTCAATGAACCCTACACGAGCCATTACTCGTACACATTTTCTTTGAGCATGGAACATATGGTGTGCATGCGTAGAATGTCCCCAACACAAAACACCATAAGACATGTGACAATAAAAGTTTCAGTAATACGTCTTAATTAACACCTCAGGTGGTACCATGCCTACCAAATTTCGCACAGCATATATGCTTCTGTTCAATTTTTTACTAAGTCCACTATGTGACCTTGCCATATTAATTTAGAATCTATCGGAATTCACAGATATTTTATGGAAGTCACGATATGGTTAGACTGTTCTCGATTAAGAGAAAAGTGTATGGTCTGCGTCTTCGACTGATTAACACTAAGAGAATTCGCTATAAACTAGTCAAAAAGAAGTGTACGTGACCTCTCGGATTGTCTTTTAAGATCATCGGGTATTTTGTGCATATCGATGGTAATCGTGTCATCAGCATACAATATAATGATCGTATTCCGTGATAAACACTTGGGCAGGTCATTAATGAAAATAATGAATAGTAAAGGTCCACACCCAAAAAGCAACTTTTCAGATATTTGTTCGTTGTAAGAAACATACTAAAACCATTTCTCAAATAAGAGCCCAACAAATCTATACCTCCATCTGTAATGTTGTAATTGCGAAGCCTCCACAAAAGCAGACCATGGGATACGCAGTCGACAGCCTTGGCTAAATCATAAAAAGAGGTTTCCGCAAATAATTTATTCTCAAAACACCGTTGTATGTGACCGGCCAGTGCTCCAACCGCCGCGGTTGTCATTTTATCTTTCCGGAATCCATACTGCAATTGATTCAGCAAATTATCAAATAGCAAACGCATACCAAGCCTATAAAAAATATATTAAACTAAGATTAGAACTAAAACTAGAACTGAAGAACTGAAGAAAGGTTTGAAACTGGTTCGAAGTGGCTTCGAACCAGTTTCTGAAGAAGGTTGCAACATGGCATCCGAAACGTCAAACCTTTTATTAAAAGACGCACGGCAAAACCCGAAAGTTTCTAGTGTTAGTTCTAGTTTTAGTTCTAATCTTAGTTTAATTCACACCGGCCGTGAAAGCCTTCGTACTTATAAAAAATATATATTTCCAAACGAATTGAAGTTAGCAAAAATCATTCCCATCCACAAAAAAGGGAATGGAGAAAAGCCAGACTACTACAGGCCCATTCCTATTCTCCCAGTAACTTCGAAAGTATTCGAATGCGTAGTAGCAGATAGAATTTCGAAAGTTTTTCACTAAATATCAACACGGCTACCGTAAAGAACAATCTGTAGACACAGCTATCTAACAAGATACCGTAAACAAAATATTGGAAGCAATAGATAAAAGAAAATTTGTAGAGTTGGTAGGAATTGATCTATGAAAAACGTTTGATAGTGTAAACCATGCCGTACTCCTAGATAAGCTGTATTACTACGGTATTCGGGGTGTTGCAAACGACAATCTGAAGTCATACTTGAATGCTAGGATACAAATCGTAGTGTGAATGGAGGAAGATCTAGAGCTGCAGAGGGCTCAGTGGGTGTTCCTCAGGGTTCGGTATTGGGTCCTTTGCTATTTATCATATACATAAATGACATGCCAAGCATTATACCACATGGAGATCTTTGCATCT